GAGTCCTGTTGAGCTAACTTATAAATCTGTGGCAGTGATTTATACAACCTGGACCTTGTTGATGTGCCAATTGAAGTTGGTTTCGTCCCCGCGACGGTGTCAAATCTGTAAGCAAGCATACACTTTGATCAATGTCATTTTTCATTAGCCTAACCTGCTTGTGCTGGTACCTAGATTGATACGACGTTGTAATCTCAACAGCATCGGACAACTTTTTCTTGAAAGTCTCACAGCCCTCGAGTCATTGTACGTCAGCTAATTACAAACGGACTGTTCATTCTTGCTGACAATAGTTGTGTGTTGATGCTTTGCTTCGCAGGAATCTAGCGTCTAACAAGATATCCAGCATCTACACTAGACTGCCAGGATCCGTTGAGGCCTTGAACGCGATGACTGAAATGTGAGTACGTCTGTTTCAAGCTACTTCCATTCATATACTGACTCGTGCGTTCGATGTTTATGGAGCAGAAATCTGGCAAACAACAGCTTTACGGAGTTTCCTCGTCATCTACTTCAGTTTCCAAACCTTCAAAAGATGTACGTACTGGAGCACTTGTCATCAACACAATTTTGGCTCACTTTGACGTCTTGAACGTGTCAGCGATCTGAGCGGCAATGCTATCACAAACTTGACAGTCACAAGCGACGAGTTTGCAATCATTTCACAGCTATTAGTCTTTCGAATCGATGTACAAGGGAATTTCAATGGCAGTGGAAGTGACTGTGAACGTGAGGAAGTACACAGCACAGTTTTTTGCGTTTCCAATAGTACACGCAGCCTTTCAGCCTCGGAGATGGCGCTAGCTCAAAAAAGCGCCGATAACGCAACCAACTGGACAGCGTTCATGCTGGTAGCAGCGTTTGGTGGATGTATTGTGGGGTTCCTGCTGTTCTTTCTTGCTATAAGATTGGCACGATACCAACAAGAGCATCAAATTAAGCCAGGCTCAGCTTCGCCTAATGCCGTAGACATTCAAACACCAGGCGCAATGGAGACCACTGCTTCACAGGCGGTCTACAACACACTTCACCCGACATTACACGCAGGAATACTCGACGATCCACTGATCATGTCATTTCGACTAAATTACAAGGACGTGGAAGTTGGTCGCTGCATCAGCAAAGGAGGTTTTGGGCTTGTGTACACTGGTACGTACAAGCGCCGTCGCGTGGCCATCAAGAAAATCATGCGCGAGAAGTGCGAGAAGCTCTCACAAATCCGCATGTTTGTGCGCGAGATCACGCTCATGGGATCACTCAAGCACGAACGTATTGTAGAGTTTATCGGCGTTGCGTGGGACTCGCTGCGCAACTTGAGTGCTGTAACGGAGTATATGGAACGTGGAGATTTGCGAGATGTACTGCACACTCTGAAACACGAAGGAAGTGAAATTGACGATGGGCTAACGTGGCACGGCCTCAAGCTCACCATTGCGCTTCATATTGCAGAGGGCCTTGCATACATGCATTCGCTCAATCCCAAGGTAATTCACCGCGATCTCAAGTCCAAAAACGTGCTACTTAACGACGAGTTTCACGCTAAGCTCAGCGATTTTGGTGTCTCGCGTGAGCGCCCAGTGGCAGATGTCGAAGGCGTTCCTGAGAAATTCATGACCCCGGGTGTTGGCACATCGTTCTGGATTGCTCCAGAGGTATTGCTCGGCAAAGACTATGACGAGCACGCGGATATCTTCTCCTTTGGTGTTGTGCTCTCCGAACTTGACACGGACGACTACCCGTACTGGAATTCCGGAAACATCCCAGGGCAGGGCAACCTCGGCGACAGGCGTTCACAGGAACAAAAGATCCTTGAAAAGGTAGCATTAGGCTCGCTGCGCCCGACGTTTTACAACGATTGTCCTCCCGGTGTGCTTTCATTAGCTGCAAGTTGTCTCGAAGGCAAAGCAGAAAACCGACCCAGTGCCTCAGAGGTTGTACTTGCAATTCAAGAGCTTATTCGCGAAATGCAGTTCGACAATCCCGACTCGGAGCCTGAACCTGATGAGATTGTCACAGCAGGATTCCTCTCCAGCGAATATGAGTAGAACGCTATTGTTTCTCGAACGAAGAGCAATGTGGACGGACGCCCAGATTTATGACTATTTCAAAGTAAAACAAATCGGTTGTGCAATATTTTCTCAAATCAACTTGAAGTGTAGAGCTCCCACAGATAAAGTCTTCTTGACACCAAAGACTTACGCAGCAATCTTCTGCTTCTTCACTGGAGCTTCACTAGTCTCTTCAGGCTTGGAGGTTGCGTTGACTGTCACACTCTGTTTCTTCAATTCACTTGTAGCCACCGGCTTCATTATATAGACGGGTACTGAAGATGATCCTCCTTCACTACGCGCGAACGCGCCCGTGTCTTCCTCCAAGTACGCTCTAGAAACAGCAAAACTCACACACTTGATCAACTTTGATTTTTTTTCTCCAGCATCTCAAAAAAACTACAAAAAAAGCTCACGTGACAAATGTACGCAGATGTTCTTTTCCACCGAGTTCGTGCTCACTCTTGATGTAACTTTCAAGAATCTGGTCACACACTTGGTCCGCTGTCATTGACGTCACTCCCTTGTGATATTTGGCCTTTTCAAACGCCTAGAATATCCCCTCACAATATCAGATTAAAAAAAAACTACCAAAAATCCTCCAAATAAAATCCTCTTACTTTTTGGATAATTTTAAACCCACTCATTGTACTGATCGTCGACCGAATGGCACATAAGAAATAGACCCGTGCTTGACCAATTTTAAGGGGCATCTTGGAACTGAGCTTGATCGTCTGGTTCTTGGACACGAACTTACCATCCGCAAACATGCCGTTCTTGCCCAGACACTGCAACTCAAAGCAGCTTTCGCTCTGATTCCATTGGATACGTGCATGCAGACGCGAAATAGCCTTTTGTTCCCCCAGCGCAATCCGATGGTCAGGCAGCGACGAGATAGGACCGCGTCCGAGCTCTGCCGGAAGATGCGTTACAAGCTTTTCGAACGGCAGATCGTCCAGCACGCGCCCGCTAAGTTTGGCGTAGGCCAGCGGTGGCCGTTTTTCGACAAACTTTTTCTCGAGCGCTTTCTTGCGCTCCTCGAGCCCCTGCATGATTATTGTAGTAAAAATTAATCGATCTGGATTATTTGGGGATTTTTTTCGTCTAACCTGACTATATATAGAGTAACTTTGTCAAAAAAAATGAAATTGGTGATTTCATAAGATGAATGTTTTAAAGACTACGTTGGTGTATATTCTTTCATCCTTCTCTAAATGCAGTATGTTCTTATATATTTACTGAAACTTCTTCTCGGTTTCATTCGTGCAATTCCAATGTCCTGTCGCTTTCGGCCTTTCTAGTCTCTCCTATAGCATACATGGTCTACAGCTCTTTTTCTTAAATGAAACACGAAGGTTTCCGACAGCCCTGCATGGAAACATGTCTTGTTGCCTTGTTGTTTCCATTTAAAAACAATAACTCAATTTGAGAAAATAAGTACTTCTGACAATTCAATGCAAACTCGACTGCCATAGCGTAGAGAAACCTTCTCGTGTCGGATTATGATGACTGACGTACATTGTTGGGATGTATCAGAGGAAAAATGTCTCATTGGTTTCGAAACTGAGCCCGTCCACTTAAACGCTTGATACGAAAGAGCCCATTGTAGTGTAACAAGTCGCACCGAATTACAACGTCACATTAAGCAGAAAGCGGCACCGAAATAGACAGTTATGGGCTGAACATACCCCCGAGAGCTCCAAACGAAACGCTTAAGGGCAAGTCAAGCTTGGTACTTGTGGAGGTGGGCACGTTAAAAGGCGTTAAGAGTACAGAAGCAAGTGCAGTAATAGACATTACTTTCAGCCTTGGAGGTCCCGTTGCCACGAAAATGCACCGTCCTCATTGCACTCGTGGAAGTTTTGTATTGAGTGTCCACTGACATCTTGGTGGCTTTTCTTGTGTCTTACTTGACCGACTCGGCTGAGGCATAGCGGAACGAGACCATCACAATATTATCTTACGTCTAACAACATCATCACCCCACCAAGTTTTACTCGCACCAGTTTGTTATAATGGTGTCGCTGCGGGGCCACTCTATCTCCTCTAGGGTCTTGACTAGAAAAAACGTCAAGACAGGAACTACGTCGCTAATGCCTTCGTTGGTGACTGCCACGAAAAAAACTAGCTCAAATAAAGGGGCAGTCACGACAGTCACGACTACAACCACAACGGTGACTGCGTTGAACGCTAGTAATAGCACGACTTCAAACACTACCGGTTTAGCCAACTCAGCCACGGATGAAAGTGCTGGCAAGGTCACCACTACGACTATTACGACAACGCAAAGTGAAAACGGTTCGTCGCCAGTGACGACAATCACACCTGATAATGGGGTGAATAGCACGAGCACCACGACAACTCTTTCGGGTGCCACGACTGTGACGTCCAAGACAGATTCCGAAACAAACAGGTCTGTTAGTAACTCTACACTCTCACAATTGACCAATGCTGGAGGAAGCTCTGCTGCTCCCTCCCATAGGACGTCAACGCCGCTCCTTTAGTATCAACCAGCACATCTTCGACACCCTCGTCAGCCGAAGAAACGAATGAAGGAACTTCGGCAAGTTCCACGAATACGGGTAGCATCGCGACGACCAGCTCAATATCAACGCGTGGAACAGAGACAAATAGAAAGACATCCGCCGGCACGGGATCGACGAGCAGTTACACGAGCAATGTCGATCTTGCTACACCCGGGACCTCGACTACTACCAGTACGACAGCGTCCACCACCACGTCGAACGGGTCAAATGGGTCTGCTACGATCATTGATAACACAAAAGCAAGCAGTACTGTCACCGAAAGCTTGGCCACCTCGACGGCAACTTTATCTGATACAAGCCCTGCCACGCCTTCGTCTAGCGGATACATGACAACTTCGTCCTCACGTTCATCTAATTTGTCGTCGTCAGATTCACTCAAAGAATGGTTCACCAGTAGAATTAGAGCTCACGAAACGCAGCTTGTCGTCAGTGCTAATAGCTCCGCCATAACCACGGGTGCGTCGTACCGGGTGTGCAATGGTCTACCGGCGCTAATTACTCGCTCCAACATTGAGTCCCCGAATGGCGGTTGCCCAGACGAGCTTACGGCACTCAACGCGTCCTGTACATGCCTTACAGGATATAATGCGACTGCATCCTCTTGGGCTTTCCACGTCACTACCGAGTCGCAGAACTTTTCCACAAGCGCAACGAGGCGGTCGCTGACGAAATCATCCTCAAATGAGCTGGCGATCAACACCATCCGTCCAATTTGGGTGCCATCAAGTCTGAAGACGCTGGAGATTGTAAGTACTGACGATTCTCCGGCTGAAATCACTTTTATCGATGAAAACCGTGAGGCCTCAAATTTTTCATTGACCCTTGTGCGGTCGGTGAACAATTCCACACAGATCTCCACGCTTTCACTCATTAAACTAGATTTGAACGCTGTGGCGGCGACGAAGTCAGACTTCGTGCCAGTCACAGTAACGAATCTGACGTTGCGCAATTGCAACATTTCGACGCTCGGTAGCAGCTTTACGCGTACCTGGGGCGGGCTCCAGTATCTCGATCTGTCTTCAAACAACCTCGACACTGAGTTCGTAGGTGGAGCTAATCTCAAAGAACTCAACCTGTCACACAACGCACTTTCGGTTTTCCCCTTCGAATCCCTCAGCTCGAGCGGTTTGGAAGTCCTGTACATTCAGGGCAATGACATCAACGACTTCAACGTGAGTCAAGACCAGTTTGAACAAATCCAAGCTCTTACAGCGTTCAAGGTGGATACACCATCTTCATTATTAACTTGTCAAGGTGGCGCGTGGCAGTCAGCACACGGTACTGCTTTTTGCGTTCTCAGCGCGTCCACGGCCGCAGCGCCCGATCCACCTCAGTCATCGGGATCAACCGGCGACGGCGACAATAACGGTCTCGGACTGCTGGCTTACTGGATCATCGCGGGTGCTATCACCGTATTTTTTGTGCTTCTGTTGGTGACCTGGCAGCGTCGTCGCTACAGCCGCGAAAGCGACATTAGCTCAATCGTATCGCCGGAGACCATTGAGCCAGTAACACCGCAGTACAACGTCAACCACGCTTTCGGCGACGCACTCAACCATGACAACGTCATTGCCGCTGTTGGTACTGCTCGTACTGTTGTTGCTGCTCAGGCATATCCCGGATACGGACGGTCTCACGGCAACAGCGTCGATAGTGATGACTCCACAGCTATGAGCGTGACGTTAGCTACCGACAAAGTTTTGGCATCGTGCCGACTGGATTACGGTGAGCTGATACTAGGTCGCTGTGTTAGTCGTGGAGGCTTCGGTCTTGTCTTCGTGGGCAGTTATCGAGGGCGGCAGGTGGCAGTCAAAAAAATTCGCAATGAGCGTGATGTCGGTCGCGAACAAGTAGAGCAATTCGTGCGCGAGATCTCGCTCATTTCTGGTCTGAGCCATCCGCGCATCGTAGAGTTCATTGGTGCATGCTGGACGATACCCGCTGAGCTATCGGCGGTGACAGAATTGATGGAGCGTGGCGACCTGCGTGATGTCACTAGACGGTTTAAGCGTCGTGGCTACCGCCTCTCATGGGAGTCCCACAAGGCAGATATCGCGTTGCACATCGCCGAAGCCCTGACTTATCTACACGGATTAACCCCGACAGTGATTCATCGCGACCTGAAAGCAAAAAACGTGATGCTGAACGCCGACATGGAAGCCAAGCTTAGTGACTTTGGCATTGCGCGTGAACGTAGCGCGTACGATGGCAGTGAGCACATGACGGTGGGCATCGGCACGTCATTCTGGATTGCACCGGAGGTGCTGCTTGGTCACGACTACGACGAGCGTGCTGACATCTATTCGTTCGGTGTCGTGTTATCTGAAATTGACACGGATGATTACCCGTACTGGAATGCCCAGCATCCGCCGCAGGGCAAGGCACAAGAGAATGAGATCCTCCGTCTTGTGGCTCGTGGTACCAAGCGCCCTGCATTCTCGGACGATTGTCCGCCTGCAATCTTGGAGTTGGCTGCACGTTGTCTCCGTACTGACCCTGAAGAGCGTCCTAGCGCTTTTGAAATTGTACTGTACCTGCAGCAGCTTGCCCAAGATCGCCACTCAAGCGCATCGTTTTCGTCGATGGTTCGAGCTGAAACCGCGTTTAGCGGTATAAACACCAGTGCACCTGCAGCCACCGCTCCGGCAGATACCATCGTGAACCTCCGCTCCACCGTTCAAACCATACAGAAAACCCAAGAAATGGCTTCCTCTTTGGCTGCCGTAGCACATGCCCCAGGAAAGCGCTCGACAACGACGACAAAGAATGTTTCATCAAACGTTACAACAATTTCGCGCATCACTGCGGTCAAAGCGCTTGCCCCAGGACGTGAAGTGGAAGTGTCTTCACGTCAAGTGACCCAACCGGTGGCTTGTACAAAACTTTCTGCTCACAGAAAGAAACCCAGGCGAAATGGTCCAGGAAATACCAGTAGCATCTCCGAACACGCTACAATCACGGGCAGCATCGAGAATGCACGATTGAATCAAAGTTACGTCGGTGCAAGACCCTTGTCACCTAGCAGCCAGGAGGCGGAGCTGGTGACAACATCAACAGCTGAGCTCTTCGAATGGAAAAGAGGCCGCAGCCGTTTGGATTGATCACTGGAAGTACAAATTGTTGCTGTATGAGCTTGACAAGGAAAAGAAGTAGGCATGTTTGAATGCAATAGTATTATAAATGAATCTGTTGTTGTCACTGTGCTTGAACGTCGTTAGCGTTAGAAGTGCTAGCATGACTGCTTGGGTCTAGTGTCGACTTGATGGAAATAACAAGTCCGTCAAAACTTGAAGTCCTACTGTTGTGCTGCTGCAAGTACCATCCGCGTTGCTGGTGTTGATTTCAGTCGTGGTGGAAACCTTGTCGTCAAGGCCCGCCAGCGAAGTGAGCTGGATGACCAAGTAAAGGTGTGGCTTGGAATTATTGGAAGACGACAAGATGAGGCTCTTTCTGAACGACAATAAGAGCGTATGGGACAATACCATTGGTAGCACTCTTGTGATGTACAGCGGAAACCGTCGATGTAGACTAAGGCCAGAGCCAGTGGTGGCTGGTTCGACGTCTACACGACCCTTGACGTGCAATTTGATGGACTGAAGTTCTATATCCAACCAAGACAGAAGTTCACAACCCGACCGTTGATTCTTTGAATTTGGCGCTACTTTGGACTTGCTTCTTTGTAACGATTGAACTGACGTCGAGTACAATTGTCGGCGTGGCAAATGACTTGGACACTTCGTGTCACGGCTACAAAAGCTATGGATGAAATACTCAGACCCGTCCAATCCGTCTCTACGTTCGGTAGGCACGTCATCCGATTGCAGACAATGTAGGTAGGTTACAGTACGGAATGGACTACTTGATGTTTTTGCTGTGGTGCTTTGACATACGTTGAAGAATATGGACTCATCTTTCACCTTTACTCGACGATGATCATGATCGTGGTCGTGCTGTTAAGAAGTTGTACGTCAATAGTAACCGCTTTGGAACGGTGAATGTAATTGATAAGGTGTTGGCTTGTAGGTCATCACGGTACACAAACATCAGCTGGACGACATCTACGTTTGTGCAAGGCTATCGAATTCCTCGATCTCTTGCTGCTGCAAGGCAGAGTGACGCTGGCAGTGTTAATGTAAAAACGGCAGACTAGTTAGCAAATTTTGAGAGGACAAGCTACCGCGTACGCTATGCGTAGCGTAATTGTAGCAGTGTTTGGAGTATCAACAGACTACCTCAAGAACGCGTAGTACATGATGTGTTGTCATATCTCTAACTGCTCCAAGCACTCCCGAATGCAACACCACAAGACGCCGACCAATCTATCCAAACTTGCCATCAAAGCCTACAAAGCCTGTAATCTTGAAAATAGGGAAGAATGGCTTTGTGTGGAGGTTCGAGCACCAATTCCAGGCGCTCGCTCGTAAGTCGTCCATCAATGCATGATCCAGCCTCGAAAAAATTGTCCGCTCCGCTGTCGCCGAAAGCTTCGCGGAAGAAGTCTGCCAGAATAGTGTGCTTCAGCGTGCGAGCCCCACCGAACGTGGTGTCTACATATCCTCGAGTTTTTGGAGACTCACACATGGACTCAATACTATCGATAGCCTTGACGATTGGACGCAAAGTATGCCCTACCTGGTTGTAATGATGAACATGAGCGCGTTGGGGACATTCTTGTCTCCAAAACGGATGACACTTGAGCCCACCCACGAGTCTAAACTGCGCATAGTAGAGGGAAGAATAACGTGCATGGCACGAGAAACACGAGGCGCAGACTGGATGCGGTGCAGACCCTGACCGGTCTCCGTCAGCTCATACCGTGTGACATCGGTGAGTAGGTCCTCGTCTGTCAGACACCACAGGCGGAACATGTCATGCGCGATCTCGCGCCAGAGCGTCAGAGACTGAAGCACATAGTTGTACTGCCGATCGTGCGAATGGGACAATCGTGCACCGTCATTTCCGCTAATGATGGCCAAAGAACTATCTCCATCCTCGTCGTCTGGGTTGAAATTCGTAATTAGAAGCTTAATCATGCGATCGATCGGGTCGCGCTCGAAGTACAGATGGTAATTGTTATCTGCGATCGAGTACAGACACTGCTGGAGACAATCACGTGAGAAACGTCGGCTTTCGTACTTGTCGCTCAAAGCTTGAATGCCTGCTCCTTCTGCTTTATCTGGCGCTGAATCTGAGAACGTGATTTACCCTCAGGAGCAACCACCCTCGTCGCAGTCTGAATGCGAGAATCGCGTAACATATCCAAAGCACCACCAGCTTCCGCCACATCGTGCACAGTGCGAATTTTCTGCAGGCAAGAGAATCCTAACAATTCCTGCAACTCCGGACTTACAGCGTCCTGCAACAAATACATGAGCTTGCCGTACTCACCGCGCATTTCTCTGGGTTCATGATCTTGTATCGTCTACCCAGTTCAAACATCTCCTGAAGAAAGAACTCGGCACAGTCGGCAAATTTCTTTTCGTCAATAATCTCTTCTCCAGCCTTGTAGTCCGACGCCACCGCTAACGCCGACAGGAATCCACATACATCTTGCAGCTGTGCACGCACGCGCTTGGCCGTCGGCAGGAACTTGGGCGTGTCCAGCTTGTCTGTATAGCCAAGCTACTCACACACAACGCTGCCTCCAGGCCACGCAGTAATTTACGTTCTTCGTATGTGAGTCACAGGGGAATATACTTGGCTCGCTCCAGCATCTCAGCAGCAGCTTGAGCATTTGCAGCATTAGCATTACCATTGGTAAGTCTTACTGGACTGTCTGGCGACGGGTAATCTAACAGATAATGGCCCATCAAGTCACAAATGTTACGGCGTGGTGCAGGTTCATTGGAGTCAGACTCATCTGAAGCTGAGCTGTGATCAACCGTGCCATACATACCGCAATAAAGATCTCGTTCTTCACTGCTGCTTGTGTCTCCATCCAGCTCATCCTCGACACCCTATTAACCAACAAAAACCACACCATAAACAAAAAAGAAGCACAGAAAGACACACACACAAATGCACACAGACCATGTTCTCTGTCTTCTCAGTCTTCTTAGCAACACCACATGACTTTTACTTCTCGCGCTTACAAAGTAAAAAGATCGTACATCATAGTCAACTGCTGCTCGCATCGTATCGATCTCCACGTTCGTCGTCGTTCTATTGGCCTCAATTGCAGCCTTAGAAGTCGGAAAACGTGGCTGGAACGTGTGCTTCCGTCTATTTCCCTTGCGATGCTGGCGACCATGCACAACTCGCAGAAATATTCATGACATTGCTCACAAAAGACCTCCGACTCGTGCGCCTCGCACTCGATACAGAAGAACTCGTTACGGTGCGGCGCTTCGTCCACGTCGTCTAAGCCTTTAACGTCTTTCCACGCAGCTGCCGTCACGTGAGCAAAAAGTGTACAGCACTATTCTGATAACTTCTCGTCATCTTCCAAGTCTTCGTCTAGCAAAGCTGACAGCGTCCGCATACGACACACACGCGCGAGGTGCTCGCCGGTCGACATCGTTGATCCTAGCCAAGCGGAGATTGGAGTGGTGCACACCAGAAAATGGGACGAGGAGCTACATTTTCTGCAGTAAATGTACCCATCGACACTTTGGCTTCAGATTTAACAAAGAAATTTTTGAGTGGAACAATCGTCATCGATTCCCAGGCACTACCTTTACGGATATTGTCAAATGCAAGAGCGAAGAAAATGTCGAGGAGTCAAACGACGCTGATGGCTTCAATATTTCGTGTACACAATGCTGGCGAGATGATAACTATCAGCCTCAGCCTACACGTACTCACTTGTAGTCCACGCGATCTTTCTAAGTATCTCCCGTCACAACTAAACACCGTTGAGAGCGCCAAATATGCGTTGCTTTGAATAAACGGTGAGCCTTGCATCTGAACTAGTATCGCTCTCAGCGCTGCAATGTATTAGTTCGGCTCGGCAGGTCCTATTTGCAGCAGGTCTGTAGAATAAATGTCACGTAATGCAATTCTAAGCTATTCCCTTTGTAATTCCTTCTAAAGGAGGTACAACAGACTCCAATAGTCGTTGCATCCAAAGATCATCGCGGCGAAAGCCAACACCATCGTGTCAATCGTACCATTAGCTTTGCACAAAGGCTCTAAGACATTACTGAATTCTAAATGTAAACAAGGACTTGTGACAATAAAACATGGCACACCTCAAATAGTCGATATGCCAGCAATATGGCTACTCGATAGGTATTTTATTTTTAGGTTTCAATTATTTTCTCTATCTGCTTCCATTCTTTAATCATTGTAATGTTCTGTTTTTTTTAAAAAAAATTTTTGGTACTCCTCGGGCCATCCTCTTTTAATTCCTAATCTATCCTCGATCTGTACGACATCGGCAAAGCTATACCTATGTTTCCACCATACACTCATCAGGGCTGCTCCTAAATAACTATCAGGGTCCACCACTTTCACCATTTCATCTTCACCATACCTTTCGTGTACAGCGTCAAATGGTTTCGGTGCTCTTGGATAATAGTAGCTATGATCAGTACCGTGCTTAGTTACCATATTAGTCCATTTATTAAAATGTTTCCTTACGAAAGTTTCCAAATTCAACTTATCAGTACGCGTTTTGAAATAATCGATAATTTGATTATATGACTTTTCAGCCTCGGCAGCAGTATCATCGCTAGATTCTATTACATTTGCCAAAGGTTTCGCCTTCGACGATCGAGAGCCAAAAAAAGAAGACAACCCCCTCTCTTCACCATCGACGTCTGCTGAAGTCGCTGAAGTCTCCGATCTTAACAGTCTATTTGTAGATGCGTTGCCTCCCTGACTCGGCTTCACATGGGTAGCAGCCGAGATGTCAGTGCCGGCGAGGACGATTGCTGCAGCAAGCAAATTGATGCATTGAAGACGCATCACTCTGTAGTTTGTAGGTCGAGCTTACGCACTTCTGGATGAAAAAGGAAATGAGCGTTGGTTTACGGACAGGAGAAATGGTCCAGCGATATCTGGAGATCCGATTCCAAGACAAACGTTTGGTCTATGTGCAAAGTAATACAGCAGATTGGGAAGAACTCACAACCGACAAAGGCCGTTGGGAAAGAGGCGCTTGCGTGCGCAACAAATTGATGCAGAGACGTGCACATAGATACAGAGAGCGAGTTTACGAAAGATCGTGGCAGGGCCGTGGACAGGACAGCCGGTGATAGATCGCCATCATCACTATGCATGGTAGTATCCGAAACCTTCGTAAGCGGCCGAAGAAAAGAAGGCTTGACGCGATTGTAACGAAGAAGCAGATGTATACACAGCAAGATTTTATTTGAACAAAAAAAATCTCGCGAAGTGGCTTGCCAAGGCCAGGTTCAAACAGCTCCCTCATGCAAGCGACGGGATGAAAGAAGACGGTGCGCGCGGGCGACTTCAATTCCCCTTGAACTTGCGTAGGCGCGTGATCAAAATGGGACGGACACTGCCTGCGACGAATTAATTACAAAGCGCCAAGTCAGGTACGACAGTAGATTGCCGCTGCAAATTGACGAAATTCAGCTCATCATGACTGGAATATTTGTGAATCATATTGACCGTGTCACAAATGGAATTTTGGGCCGCGCCCAATTGACGAAGCGCGTTTGTCGGACATACAGTTAAGTAGAATAATGTGGCTTAGATTCGGTTAAATCTCGAAGATGTGCACGGGATTGACGCCAGATAGCCGGATTACGATTACTATCCGTCCCAAAATTCAAATATTTCAAGCGTCCATAGGATGGGCTTTTCGTTTGACGACATGTTTGAGCAGTAAAGGAGCTCGCAAGCACTTCCTTCTCAATACAGAGCGGTCGATACCTAGTCTTTATTAGCGCATTTTATATTCTCAAAGTCACTCACTGCTCAGGACGGTACAATTGCAGCATTAGCATGGAAGTATAAGAGGATCATCAATTCTACACACCCTTGAACTTTCTTCTAAGCTCCACACCGCAGCACCAAATTTTGCATTACTGCTTTCCTTTTTTAACCAAGCAAGCCGTTTTGTTCACATCCAAATAGCTCTTCTTCAGGGTCTTGTCGAATCATATCATCAAAAATTGCTTCGACCAGGCTCTATAAGGACAACCGCGGCTTTGTAGATCTTCTCGTCAATTGTGTCGTCAAAAATTATGCTTTCATTTGACAAGTGCAACAACTGCGAGTACGAAATTGCTTTGCGAGAAAACAAAATCAGAGGCGAAACGGCTCTTGCTGTTGATCCGCAGCTGATGCGGTCCGGCACCACGATCAACGCTGAACTGGGCAATCAGCCATCAGTGCCTCCCAAAACTATAACATGGTATAGATCTATATCAGCTTGACTCCTCTAAAACGACTAAAGGCCTTTTCCTAACAACACCACACCAACAAAAACAGGCTGTTTGCTCTTGGTAATAGCCGCGCCTTTTATGAATTTATCCTGACAATAGACAAAAGCTGCTGATGGCCGTCGTAAAAGCTGGTTCAGCACTCTTCAATCGCTCTGAGCCTGTCCTATAACCCGCGGCTCGCACATGTTTACAACATGTGTATAGGCGCAGTCGTTCACTGGCCATTTCAAGCATGGCAATGAGGCTCTAGCAGCGAAAGGATTATAGAAATAGCCGATTTTGAAGAAAAGTAGCGTTATATAACTAAAAAGTAATAACGCTTCTGTCATGATGTTCGCATTTTTTAAAATTTTGATTATGGAGTTTCCTTTTGGGCAATTCAATCTAATGCTTCTACATCTACTTCTGCTGATGCTCTTGCTTGTTCTAGGGATGCATATGCAAGCTGTGGAGGCGATGCAAGGCGGTTTATTGTGGTTTAACGAGTAAAGTATCCATCATTATCGATGACCCTTTCTGCTTCTAAAAAGGGCCAAAAATATTCTTACCAATTAGATTTGGACAAATTTGGGAATGTGGGCTAATTAACGACAGAATGTATTCTTAGTACTGGCCCCTAAAAGAGCTATTAATTGTGAGTGAAAATATATAATACCGGTTCGATAACTGATAGGGTAGTACTAAGTATTTAATGAAATGACGTGTCATGCAGTTAAGAGGTCTGCATAATATGATTACTATTATAGTTATTATATGTTTAAGGCTAGTGGGTAGGAGCTGTAAAAATGAGAAAATAAATGTATTGAAATTTATAATTCTAGCTATCTTTTGTGTCTGTACTATCGATCACTCCCTGATAATTCCTCAAGAGTCAATTCGCTTTCTCAGAGGTCGCTCCGCCTTCCCCGAGGATTGCGACCTATAATGGGCTAAACGTTACACGAACCTGTTAAGTATGCAATACTTATTGGGCAAGTGTAATTTTTTTTGTAGCCTGATTTTTTTGTAAGGACACTTCCAACAACACCAGGCTCAGCAAGCTGATTAGTACCCAATGACGTATGACATACTGTCAGCGCACCCTCGGCTGTGTTTAACGCAGCATCAGCCACATCAGCCTCTCGCAGTAGCACATCCTTTTCGGTGTTCTGCGTAGAGTTAGCGACTGTACGTGTACGCCAGTCAATCCATGGTTGGTGCTTAGCCAACCTATGCATGCCTAGGATGAGGTCATATGGGCTCTCCATACCTAGCAATGTAAGATTCTCTCTACAAGAGAAGTCACTAAAGCTGAAGGCGAGTTCAACTTGAGCTCCCTCCGATTTTACGAGCGCGCCGTTCGCTAAATGAACGATCGCCTCTTCTCGCTTGCCATCCTGGCAAAGCGACTCATAACTCGCCGGTCTCTTTTTCAGAGCCGCGAGGTTCACAAAGTTTTGTGATGCACCCGAATCCACGAGAAGGGTCATCACTTGGTCATAGCCTCGTACTCGAGCGCTATAGACCAAAGTGTTGAGGTCCGACCTTTCGGAACCTCAGGGACTATGCTACCCATTTGTTCGATCACTCTGAACTTAGGGGTAGCTTCAGAGTCCGCGACAGTAGGGCATACCGCCTCTACTGCGCTCCCGCATTCCCCGACTTGTCGGGGGTCGAATCTGAACCCGTGCGACGTGCACGGTTCTTCGAACCACCCTTCGGTTTGGGGGACCTTTTGCTGGCTGCCTTAGCACCAGCAGCAACTTTAGCATAGCAGCGATCCATCATATGGCCTCGCTTGCCGCACTTGTAGCAGATAACATCTGCATTACCTAACTCCATAGGAGTGGCATCAGACTTCTCGGACGACGGCCTGTTATAGGCTGTCGACGAGGCGCTGTTGTAGGATTGCTCCTCAGCTAAGGCAATGTCAATTGCCTCTTCCATCGTCGCTGGCACCTTTCTAAAAAGGGCCTGACGCGATGGGCCGTGCCTAAGTCCATTCATGAACGTGGCCACCTTGATACGTTCTGGTATCGGTTCCCCATTAATGGACGCCGACAGCGAACGCATCTCCTGCACAAATTCTTGCAGAGAGCGTTTCGCCTGTCGTGCTCCAAAGAAGCGCGCCATAAGCAATACTTCGTTGTTAGGCGGCTGGTACATGGCGCGAATCTTTGAC